AACTTCTACATGAGGAGAGCTAAGAACCAGGGCAGAAGGGCACACAGAGACCTTAAATAGTTAAGCAGAAATCTACACACCCTTTTAACACTGAAGAAGGTGGTGCCACTATTATTTTGGAACTGTTCACCTGTTTTTCTTGCAAACCCTCCAAAAGCTCTTCCCTCCTCCTTTGCTTGCTGCAAGGGATGTAAGTGCAGCCACATCACACAAAAAAAACATGTTTCCATTTAAAATATTATTCGTATTCATCCCACCCAGACCAGTACCATGGGCAAAGCTGCAGAAGAATAGAGTTGTGAGACACAGGCAGCAAGCACGTGGGTAAACAAATTGCTTGGTTGTTGTTCATATCATACTCAATTCATTTAGTTTTTGTTTTAAAAAAATCGTATCTGAAGTGTGAGAAAGAGTAAGTGCTTCCATTGGTGCAGCTCTGCTCACTGGCTGGTTTCACATTTACTCATGCCTCTGACTCACTTGCTCTCAGCACCTACCCCTTCCCTCCCCCAAAGAAACTGCAGTGTGAACACCTCCTGGCAATGCTCATTGCTCAGCCACAACCTGCAGAGCTGAGTCAGGGCTGTTCTTCCCCCCCCTACCCCCTCAAATCCCATGGCACATCCCGATGCTCTGGGGCGATGCTCTGGCCATGGGCTGGGCCCTTTGGGCTTCCCCAGTTCAAGGGGTGTAGAATGGAGATGATGGAGGGGGAACAAAGTGGGCCAGACACACAGGTCCTGGTGGCCCCTCCATGGGGCCGTGGCTATCCCATGCTGTTGTTTGAGGAGCTGAGATACTGAAGTGTATTTCAGTGCTTAACCTTTTCTTTTTGAGTGTCTATTTAAAAGACCACACACGCAGTCTTCAGACCAATCGTTTCTTGATTTACAAGGAGAGAGCAGTGCCCAGAAATAAATAATTGAGAATAGCTGGCGTGCAATTCCCATGTAAGGCTGTTGGGATGAGGGATGGTATTTCAGACACAACAAGAGGCTTAGCACCTCCTCTGCTATTAGAGGGGTGAGAAAAGCCAACCCAGAGTTGTCATTTTCACGCAGTTTATACCAGCACATCAACCAGCTGGATTGCAGCAGGTCCTGCCCCTGGGGCTGATGGCTGGAAAACCCTCTGGTGTGTCGGCACATCCCTGCAGCTCAACTCACTGCTGAGCACACAGAGCTGAGTGCACAACCAGTGTAAAAAGAACAGGGTTCAGCGGCTGGGAGAGCCGTGGTCTGCTCCCTTGCTGCTTGATTTAAAGTTTGCGGGCAGGAATTCCTCAGGCACGCTCAGCAGGCACGCATTTGGAGGAAATTAATAATTTATGCTGTCACTAATGAATTGTTGAGGTCTGCAGACATTTCCATGAGGCTGCCACTGAGACCCCTGGGAATAACGTCAACCTAAGAATGGCAGCAGTTTAATTGTTCTCATTTGTGAGCATGACAATGAAGGAGATTTCTTTTCTATATTCAAACAACTCTGGGCTCCTCATTTCACTCGCAGCATTCTCTAAGTGCAGTTTTCAGCTGTTATCCTCCAAACTATCCATCTCCACGTTAAGCTTCAGTGAAACTGCAGAATGACTTTAAGGTACCATTTTCCAAAATGGATCAGCAGCCTGGGAGCTTGCAGCCCAGAATCTCAATGCACTTGGGGGTTGCTGCACTAAATGCTCACATTTAAGTGACTCCATTGCTTTCCAAAAAGTGATGTGGGAAACAAAGCCGCATGTAGGTCAGCATCCTAAGTGGGGTTGCTCCCCAAGGAAACACTGATAAATTCTGAAGCACCACTTTGCCTCTTCCTCCTCTCCACAGATTCCAGTTTTGCAGGTTGTTTTTGCAGCAGCAACACAGCAGAACAAGATAACACAGTATTTTCCCTCTTAATTCTCCTTCCTCTACTCTTTACAGCCCCTTTTCCTGATGTGCCCTCTCTCCTTCTCACCACCATATTCTCTCTCAAGCCCTCTCCCTCTACTTGCAATGAGCTATGCCAGGCATTCCTCTCTGCTCTTTCAAATCCTTCCCATGCAGCACAGCCTATCTGAGCACTTCGTCTGGCTGGCAGCAAGGGAGGGCTCCTAAAGTGAGAGTTACATTTATCTTAATAGGAGGGTTTTAAGAGCCCCGCTTTCACTCTGTCATTCATACAGATTGGGCCTTTCATTCTCACATCAAGTGGGAACAATATCATCTGTTCTCATGCCAGAAGCCAAAACTCTCCTCTTTACATCTCCCGCTTATTTGATAGCCAGGCAGCAGTATGAGCTCTGGGAATGCTGGGCTCTAGGGAGAGATTTCTGTGAATCTAAGGTACTTTGCAAACAAATTATTCAGATGTATTTCTCCCTGCTCCATCCTCCAAACCCCACCTTCAAGGAATTTTGTGATGCCTGCCTAATAAAGTTCCTAAAAAGAAGCCCTCCTTTTTGATAACCCCCCATGATGGTATTCACTCAAATTTGCAGGGAATATTTCTGGTTGCCTTGCCTGTTTTCATTGAAAGCAAACCTCTTTGCCCTCCCCTCCCTCTGAGCAGGGTCCATAAATAGCCCTGAATGTCTGGCTCCTGGAGGGATGTCCACACCTAGGGTATACAGCTACTGTGTTTGACCTCTTCTATTAGCTCAGACATGAGAAGGCACAAAAGAACAGCAGGAGTTATGTGACTACTGGTGTTTATTCCTGAGGAAATAGGAAGGAGGGGTGTTTCATAACATTCCTCATGTTCTTTAATGCTCATGAAAATGATGCTTTGGCACTAGAACATGTCGGATGAATGAATCATAGCTGCAGCCACACAAACCAGCCCAGCCTCCACAGACCAGCGCAGTGCACACAGGGCTCTGCACCCTCTGCCAGTGCTCCTGACCACCAGAGCTACCTGCTTCTGTTCATGGCCCTGACACTGGGCCTACAGGTCACTGTTTCCCAAAATGTGCATCAGCCTGGCATGAAATTTGTTGACTTTCACCTTGCATAGCTGATGGATTTCATCAAAATAAATTGCTCAGGAGGAAGATATTAGGCAGCTTCTTTTCCCAGCTGTCTTCCACCCATGTGGCATCAGCCCGTTATCATAACCATGCAGTCCCTGCTGCATTCCTACCCCAGTGCCACCAGTCTGCACTCCCAGTACAGTACCACCATGAGCACCACGAGCTAAGGACCACTGTGGGCCACCCGAATTGCTCACATATCTCATCTCTGAGAAAGAGCGTGGTGCTTGCTTTAAGATGGTATATTTTAGTAGATTAAGGCTCCTTGCTGTGATGCAGGGCATTTTCCAAAGTCCATTAAAGTCAGTGGAAAAGCTCCTGCTGGTTTTGATAGACTTAGCAGGATGCCTTATTAGAAGTGAATCCTTGAAGTTTTGCACGTGTCTGCCTTTCCAGGGAAGCTCAAGTCCTTTTGAGCACACTGTGTCTCAAACCACAGACCTTTGTTCTTCTGGGACAAGCAAAAATTGAAAGCTGAGGATTAGACTGTAAAATGAGCTCATATATCTGGAAATGAACTAAGGAAGGAGCAGTGAGTGAGTTAGCCTGCTGAAATGGATTTTACATCGAGCCTCCAAATATTTGGGCAGTATTTCTGATCCGAAATCCCTTACCTGTTCTTCCACTGGCTACTGATGAAGTGTAGGTGTGCATTAACTCCTGTTTATTTACTCACTTAAATGCACATTAGAGCCCTGTGAGTGTCTCCTGAAGGATTTTTGCTGCTGCAATGAATTAGTTTCCTTCAAAACTGTCAAAACTTTGGAAGCTGACTCCTAGTTCCAGAAGCATCCTGAGGGGACAAATCCTTGGTGGCTCCCCTACATCCCTTATGGATGTCATGAAGACATTCAGATTATAATCTCATTTCTAATCAGCCAAGACTGATGTACTGGATTGCTGGGCCTGGACATGTGAATCTCAGAGAATCATAGAATCATTTGAGTTAGGAGGGAATATCTAGTCCATTGCCCAGTGCATTTGCTCTCCACATAACCCATGAATAATTTGAGAAGACTTTTAGACTGCCATGAGTGACCTGAGCTAGTGCATAAACTGTGTGGGAAGGCACAACAAACTCACTGCTTCTGGAGAAGCTTTTGCAACCAAGTGAGGCGTCTGCTGTGCAGCAGCTACATCTCTGAACTCTTTCCTGGTTAATGCCAGTGATGGTTTGGCATGTTCTCGTGAAAGCCAGATCTGTCACTGGTCAGACGGCAACAGGGGGAGAAACATCAGAAATTGTCTGTGTCCAGTGGACATCCACTGGCACATGGTGGCACATGGAGCCTTGGCCAACATCAGCTTGCAAATCCATCTGGATTGGCACTAATATCTCCAGGATGCAGTCTGCATACAGGAGGTAGGAAAACAAGCAAGCACAGCACACAAAATAAGCAATAAACATGAGCTTATTCTTCCCTTCATAAGGACCAGTGCAGGTGTCTGCTAGAAGCTGGCATAGGCCTGTGAGCCATACATGTCAAGCCCAGTGCCTCCGTGCAGTTCTCAGCCATAGGATGATTCGTGAGACTTCTCTCTTCACATGTCTGAGAGCCATCATTATTGCTGCTTTCCATTTGTGCTATAATAATGCCCAGAAGCCCCAGACAGGATCAGGATCTTGCTTGTGCTATATGTTACATAACTTAAGAAACAGCTTTTATCCAAAAATTTCACAACATCAGTAGTGGAGAAAACGAGTAATGGAGGAAAACCAGGGGAGATCAGATAGCTGAGATCTGAAAAAGAGAATCAGTGCTCCTGGGGATGGAAGTCTGGAGGGAGAGGGTGGTCTGGTGTTAGCTGTTGTAGTGGAAATGCTAAGTCATGTCCTGAAGCAGTGATTGAGCACCTGGTGGGAAGGCAGGGCCAACCCAGAGGAGCTCAGGTGCATGCAATGTACCTGAGTGACCAGAAGACATGGAGCCAGGATCCACCCCTTCCCAGACCTCATTTAAGGTTTGGCAGTGGAGGTGAGGGCATCTTGCTGGAGATCTCTGCCTATCTGAGGCCTTCTGAAGGTAAGCAGGTTTTTTTTTTTTCTCCTCCTTCTCTCATGGCTGCTTCAGTTGGGTTTGTCCTGGTTTGCTGAGCCAAATGCTTTTCCATCCTGCTGTTATCACTGTACTTTCCATCACATTATAGCATTACACCTGTGGATGGGGGAAGTGAAGGAAATGGACCCTGGGTAACCTTAAATCCTGCACCATTTATTCTGGTTTTTATCATGTTTGAGAACACTTCATGAAAGCCAATCACATCAGAAAGTTGGAGAAAAATGACAGAGTTGTTGCAATAACCATGTGTGCAAAGTAACCTTGCTAAGGCATGACTGGAAGCAACTTATGGCTGTGGGCAATGGCCTGGTAATCAAGGAAGCTGTTTTGAGACCAGCTGCCTCAGACTGAAAAGAAGCACAGTGGGTAAGTGTTGACTTACCCATCTTACCAAAGCTGCTCATTTGTTGTAGCTGTTTCTTCAAAAATGCACACCATTTGCTCAATGGGGATTAGAGCAATCAAAAGGAAACTTCCAATGATGGGATGCTGTATGGCCCAGAACCATCAGAGCTGCATTAGGGAGTATGGTTATTCTATCCAAGATGCTCTACAAACCATTCAGCCAATGGGAAATTTTGGAGAATGAGGGGTGAAATAAAAGGCAGATCATTTTACTTCCTAGAAGGAATATACACCAAGAAGAGAAGTGTTACGTGGGCACAAGGCAGCTGCTCTGCAGCTACTGCCTTATGCTGCAGCAGGGAAGGTCCTGCCAGGCAGAGCTGCTTGGCTCTTCTCTGCTCCCAGGCAGCACAGAAAGCATTCTTAGCACCAGGCTCTTTTGAGGTTCCTGAACAAAGACAGTTCAGAACACTAGGAAGGGAAGAAAAAGCCCTGTAAAATGGGAAGTGTCTCTGGCAGGGGCTCCCAAGAAGCACACAGTGAATCTCAGTTGCTCAGCAGTGAGCTTCCTTTCCCATTGCAGGAGGGCAGTCTCCTTCAGTGCCAGAACATTTGTTTCACTATTCAGCAAGTGCTGGTTGCAGTTCCAGGACCTGGAACTGCACTGTCTCAAAAGATACAGATGAGGACATGTCCTTAGCTGCTGGTTGCATAAACAGCATTTAAACAACTTTGCCATGGGAAGTTTCTCGCAGTTGGATGCTCTCTTCTTGTGTGTGCTTCATAACATCCTCTAAAACTTTGTGCTGGTGTAAGCACGGAGGTGGAGGTTGGAAAGGGACAAATATCCTCAGCTGCTGGAAATTGGTTTTCAGCACAATTTGGACAGGCCTTAGTGGGTTATCAAAACAAGCAAGGATCGGTGGCATCTTGTTCACCTAGCACATCATCTTCCTCTCCAGGTTTACATCTCCTCTAGATCTCATTTCTAAAGCTGTGTTAAGGCACAGCATCCCATACCTCTCCCCTGCTGCATCCCTTCATCACAAACCTTCCATCTTTGGAGTCTCCAGTTGTCCCCACTGAGATCCATACCTGCTATCTGTGCAGCCTGCACCCCAGTGCACACGCTTCCATTTCCACAGCTCCACTCTCTGATCGATGGGAGGGGAAGCATAAAGGAAGGTCCCACATAAGCCCAGGACACCTAGAAAGCAAAATTTAATGCTTTGCAGAAGCTGAAGGAATACTGGACATCAATATGGCTGCTCAGTGCTGTGGCAGTATGGGCACAGTGAATCACAGCTTAATGGACAGGATGCCACTTTTGGAGAAAAGAATGCAATGGAAACCTGACTTTAAAAATATTTACCTTGTTTCTAATGTATCTTACACCAAACAGCTATGGGTTTAATTAAGGGATGTGGGGGCGAATTGGGTGTCTTAAAATAGAGTCAATTAAAAAGGCGGTGCTATCTTAAAGAGCTTTGGAAAATTACTTGGTTTATTCAGTATACAAGAACAGCACACAACTTATCTACTCACTGCCAGCTCAGAGTCCTCCAGCTTTCTGCCATCCCTGCAATATGAGGAAGGCAGAAGGATGTGGGTGCTTCCTTGCTCCTCAAGGGCAGTTGCAGGAAAATCTTGGACAACTTGCAGAGGGATGCTGGGGTGTCCTCTCCCTTCCCATGTCCTGCAGCAGGACAGGAGCATGATATCTCCTAGATAGTGCTGGCTCCTTTGTTCCATGCTGCTTGTTTGTTCAGTTCTATGTTACGTTGGTTTTCCCACTGAGGTCTCATTTTCCAGCTCCTTGATATCCTCATGACACCTCCATCTCCAGAACATGGAGAATGGTGGGAAAGGTTGAGCCTTCCTGTTTACAAGCAAAGAAAAGCTGTTCCTGGCCAGCTCCTGTCCCACCTCTTGGTCAATGTAATTACCATCCATAATTGTTTTTCCAGGCAGAAATGTAAAGAAAACACTTCTCCTACTGCTGAAGACATGAAAGGCAGGATACAGAACATGAAAAAATGCTTGGATCTCCTCCACTGCTTCAGACATAACTTGTCTGTCTCTCTACGTATGTCAGTACGTGTGGGGTCACACTGTCTCGCTGTTTCCAGGCTTTTCCCTGTACTGATCTTATTCCATGTGCAGACAAACTAAGAGCTGCCCCTTCTTCCAGCTACTGAGCTGGGAGAGTGGAGGTGGTGATGCAGCTTGTTAGGGCAGCCCCATCAGGCAGTACGCCTGGCATCACAGCTCTTGCTTTCCACACTGAGCCTAGGGACCAGATCCTTATGGAGAAGTTTGCTGAGCTGTGGCTTTCCCTGTGGCTTGCCCTCTGAGCAACTGCAGCAGCCACCATGGGTTTGCAATCTATTTCATGGCTCTCACAAATACCAGAGGTATTAGAGAGGGATTGAGCCAGCTTCAGTCTGGCTGGGGTGGAGATGTGCTCCATGTCTCAGAGATAAAGAGCCTCGAACTTTGAGGTTTGCAGCAGTGCAAGTTATTGCTTAAAAAGCTTCCAGAGGAAAGCAGGTCAGTGCCTCTGTCAGTAGCTCTGCTCTGGCTATCTTTGAATACCCATTCAGAATGCTCTCTGTTTAAAGAGGACTGGAATCTCATTTTCCCCACCAGGAAGATCTGCTCTGGGGTATTTTCCTCCTGGTGCATTTGCTGAATTATTTGCAAGAGTTTTGCATCTGGCACAGCCATGCATTTTCATTTGTAAACCAGTTCCCTGCTGATTAAACAATGCATCACATCTCATAAGAATTTCATTTGTTTTTTAAAACAGATTGGATGCTGATGAAGGAATAGTTTCAACACCAACACACCCTCCCACATGCCTGTGCTACCAGAGCCAAGCTCTCAGCTCTGCAGCACTGGATATTGGCTTCCTGAGGATGACGACCTGAGGGCTGGGCAGGATGGTTCATTTCTCTCCAAAAAAGAGGAAGAAAGCTGCTTGGAGATCCAGCCTTAGTGATGGTGCAGTAGGGTGGGTGTGCTTACAGCTCTCAGGATTGCGGCCCAAGAATGCTCTTAGCAGAGGCACCTTAGGGAAACAAAAGGTCTTTCATACTTTATTGCCCTCAGGGAAAAATCTTACAGGAGGGCTACAGCACTGATCACGGTGTAGATTCTCTAAGCTTTTCCTTCACCCTTTTGGACTGGAAGAGCTCTAAAGTAAGATAGGATGAACCTGCACAAGGAGTGGTTGGCAGAGCAGCATGCAGCAGTGACAGCTCCTGAGGAACTGCAGGCTGAGCTCAAAGAGCTGTGTCTGCTCCTCAGAGGATCCCATCCAAAAGCTATGCAATTCAGAGGGAGAAAATATTGTTTATGAAAGCAGATTAGGGTCCAATTTTCTTAAACTAACAGTGACATGAAGAGCAGAATGTACCGAGTCCCATAGATCAGGGAGAGAAGCAATAGGGTATTAAGGTATCATCAGAATATCTACACAAACACAGCACTTCACACTGCCAACAGCAGTGGATTTAAAATGTATTTTTTGGCCAGCAATGAATCTCTTGGGGAAAATAACTAACTTATAAATGCCTGCTTTAGTTCTTGTGAAAAAGAGGGAGTGCTAGCCTTGGCACAGGCTACATCATTACATGTAAGCTCCCCAGCACTGTCAGTGCAATCTGCCTGTGTCCTGCAGGGCTGTGGCCAGCAGCAGTGATGTGTCCTGACACAGAGATGTGCACAGCCCCACTCGGTCCCTTCTGAACTCAGCAGGTCTTGGTGTCCATTTGGAAAAGCAAAGGGTTCCTCATCACATTCAAGAAATGTGGAGGGATGTGGGCAGTGTTGGTGGAAGGTGGACAGCTGGACTTGCACGTCTTTTCCAACCTTGGTGATCCCACGACTGTGTGCTGTGTAGGTGTCAGGCTGGTCTCTAGGAACAAAGCAGGGAATCCCCTTCACTTGTGAGCAAAAGGAATTTCCACACTTGGAATACACACAGATGCCGCAGCCTACCACGAGCCCTCAAATCTTTGATATTGGTACATTTTTATATTGCTGCATGATTGCCAACTAATTAAAGATATTCATCAGGCTGCCTTCATAAAAGCATTTTTGGCAAAGAAAACTTAATTCTCAATAAATAATCCAGTTAAACACTGTATATATGGAAAGTTTTCTGTATATGATAATGCTGCAGCTATATGCTGTAATTGATTGAGAAAATTAACTGCCTGAAGTTTTTTGCAGGCATAAAACTAGAGGCCTTCTGCTTTCTTGGTTAATAAGATAAGCGTCTATAAATGTTACGTTTCCAAGTTGAAAAGATAGGTAAATACACAGGTAGAAGCCTCCTCCCAGTGATGGGAAAACAGGCTGGCAGCTGTCAGTGCCCACAGTGATGTCATTCTCCAGCAGGCTGAATGCTGGCACCCAACAGCACCGAAATGCCAAGAGTAATTAAAAATCCGACTTCCTCCAGTGCCCCACATTACACTTGTTGGGACGTGTTTCTTTCATATAATGTCTCACCAAGCTGAGCTGAAGCCAGAAGTGGATGAGATGAATTGGCTGCCTCTGTTTTAGAAAGTGCTTGCAGTAAGCATTCTGTGCTTGCTAAAGGATTAAGGTTTTTAAATGCCTAAGGAGTGCTCTAGCATCCAAGATTAACCAGGGAGGGGTTGGGGTTTATTTGTCTGAAGTATCAGGTTGTTGGCTTATAACATGGGTGTTCAACCTTTTGGCTTGCGTGGGCTGCACTGAGTGAAGAGGAATAGTCTTGGACCGTGGTCGCTCCAAAAGTAATGCCTCCTATTTATTTCCACGGGAATGACAACCGATACAAAGAGCACAGTAACACATTGATTGAGCAAATTCTCAGCTACAAAACACTATTTTTCCACATAGTCACCACCATTAGCTATGCATTTTTGCCACTTGTCAGCAAGGGCTGCATGCTGCGTTCATAAAAATCTGCACCAGTGGACCACTGCTGTAATGCAGTGTATTGCTGTAATGCACCACCCACCACCTCACTGTGCTCATATCCACTGTCTGGTCTCCATTAACTTCAGCAAGTGTCAATGAAAGCCAATGGGTGCCGTTTTTTCTGTAGGGAGGAATTCAATCTCACCCCTTGCTTCATATGCACTTCCATGTCAGGTGCCATTATGTCAGACCTTCTCTTTGGTGCCATCTGTCATATGGCAACAAAATGCAACAGAGTATTGATGGGAAGGTTCAGCCTCTACTGCCATCCCACCAACATCTGCATCTGACATCCCAGGCCAACGCTGTAAAATAGAAGGCATCACTTTCAGAGCAGCTCTCATGAAATATGTTCTATAGTTAATGTATATAAAGCAACAAAGCTTAATCTTTAATGCTTGTGTTAAAACAAAAAAAAAGAGAGCACCAGAATCATAAAACCAGGGGGCTTTGTGACCTTATTTTGGTGAAACAGTCCCTGGTTTGATGGCAATGGCTGCAATTCTCAGTGAGTTCTGGAGATGCTTATCAGAGGTTGTTGATGAAGTTCTACTCTTCCTGTACATCATCCTCCAAAACAGTTGTTCACAAATGTAGTCATTGCCTGAGCTGGCAGCACACTGTGCCCTGTGCCCAGTTCCAGCCCAGCTGGGGTTGATAGCACACCACTGCCCAGAGGATCCCAGACATGTCATTTTAAATGGTTTTGAGGGCTTAGTGATTAGTAACAGCTTATGTGATATCTCTGCGGGGAGCCTGTGCTGCTTCTCTCCATCCAGCACAAAAGGGCTCACGTAGCATGCAGACATTAATTAGCATGCTGCACCATTTCTCATAGGGGTAGCCTGATTGCCACACACCTGAGAATTGGGATGTAAGAATGGGGGAAGCTGGGCTTGCTGGCATGGTGGTACTGCCACAGAGCTGTTGGTGATGGCCATGCCCTGAGCTATGCCAGCATGCATCCCTGTCTCAATTTTGAAGCACAGAGCCACGCGGAGTGTTCTCTTGGCAGAAGTTGCTAGGACAGCTTGTGACCTGCCCTTTCATTTCTGGGTGACTGCAAGCAGCTGAGGTGCTCTCAGCAAACCTTCAGGTCAGTAAGGAGGTGCTGGGATCATGGAAAATGTTGCTGCTAGTGTAACACACCCATAGGATGCTGATGAGGCTTGTGCGCATTACAGAGGTGTTAAGTGGCTCCTCAAAGTAGTCATAATTGACTAATAAGGCTTAGTCAGAGGCTTTCCCAGGCATGCTTCATCAGTCAGGTATTTGACACATGGATGTACAATGTTTTTTTTTGCTGCCTGAAACATACAATAAAAGTTCTCTGACAGCATGGATCCTCACAGCTGCAGGGAATGAGTGGCTGTGAAGGGTTCTGGGGCTGCATTGGGCAGGATGTTGAGGGGAGGGGTTGCAGCCACTTCTCCCTCGTGCAGCAGTTATGCACTACAGATGTTTGTATTTGCAATTTGTGTAAAGAAGAAAGGCAAGCCCAGCAAGCAACTGCAGGTGAGCCTGTAATGTGATGTCTGTTAGCAGAGTGACTGTGGGGCAGATCACAGCTCTGTGCTCCCCAGGCAGCATCTGGAGAGATTTACCATCACCGAGTCTACGCAGAGCAAAACAATTCCCCAGATACTTTTTGTGCCAGTGGTTTGATCCTTTCCTGGCTCACAGCTCTTCCTCACCCCTTATTGCCACCATAGGTGACAGCCAGCAACCACTTCCCTCCCAGCTCTGGAAGCATTTATTCCAACAGCTGGCTTCAGATACCCATCTTTCAAATGATTTCTTTTGGAATTTGCTTTTTCTTTTTTTTCTTTTCTCATTTACTCATTCCTGCTATGTATTGAGCTTGCTTGTGCAAGCTTTCAGTGTTTGTAGTGCAATGGCTGGTGGACATCAAGTACCACGCAGGCCTTCATGCCTGTCATCGTGCCTGTAGCTGCAGACCTTTGGCAGAAGGTGCTGCAAGTTGGAAATGGGGTGATCCTATCTAGATTCTATCTGCTGTTTGCTTATATATACATATATATTTTTTTTTCCCCAAAGACTCTCTTGGAGGAAAGCGATGGAGAAATTAAGCAACATCAGGAAGCCATGGTGAGAAATGAATCAGTCACTGCTTTCAAAGCTCTGCAGTATGGTCATGGGAATGCTGGCATTACTGCCACATCCATGGGTGACAGCAAGCACAGAGCTGTAGGAGACACAACAGCTGCAGGTGGATTGGGTACAGGCAAGGCTGGGACACAGAGTCCCTCTGACTTCACTCACGGCTCTGTGTACCTCTTAGGGCACAAAGTCATCTCTGGAAGGGGAAGAAACAGCAGAAGAACAGATCCAGCATAAAGCCAGGACAAATTAGGCAGATGTGTTGCTTTTTTTTTTTTATGCTGGCTACTAGTGGGAATGAAGGGGCACAGAGCTGGTAGTGCCACATTGCAGTCCTGGCACTCCTACGTGGTCGCCCAAGAAAAGTCCATTAAACTCTACTGGTGTTCTACCTGGCTCCAGAAAAGACTGTGTGTATGTATGTGTTATATGTGCTAATAGGATTGCAACCATGCTAATCCTCTTGATCTCATGCTGCCATCTCTAACACAAGTGTGTGAGCTCATCACTGTTTCCAGGAGTAGAAGCACACTGATCCTATTTGACATTCTAGTTCTAAGTACAACGGAGGTGCAGCGTTACCCACAAAAGCCACAGCAAGCCTCTTCATGTCCCCAAAAGTAAGATATGCTGTCTTCAGTAATCCAAATCTGCAGTGCCCCTTCCAGCCATGCTTACCACACAAAGAGAACTTATCCTCTTGAAGGTGAACTAAACAAGGAGGATATATTTTCAGAAGGCTAGTACTGCATTTGTGGCACTGAGTGATGCGGTATAGGGGGGATGAGTTGGTGGTTGGACTAGATGATCTTAGTGGTCCTTTCCAAACTTAATGATTCTGTGATTCTAAAGGAAAATGTGGAAGAGGAGAGCCTGAATTTATCCAGTTGTACAAATTAAAGCTCACCCCTAGAAATGAAGTAGGTAGATCAACATTTGTGGTCTCAAAACACTGAGTTCTCCAGGACAACCTCACCAGTCAACTATGTCTATCCACTGCTGGTGCCAGGGTTTGAATCCCACATCTGGTCTGTCTCTGTTGTGCCTCAGCCATCCCTCCA